TCAGTCCAAACTATCATCTCCGCTTGAAAATATTTTTTTTATTGAATTTTATTTGAATTATAGTGTATGAAAATTGACAAAATAATCAACTTTCAACCCCCATAACTTTTTATGGGGGTGAGACCGCCGCAAAATTTTTATGGGGTTTTACTCTTTCGATCCTACCCTACCTCCACCCCATCTAACCCCCATAACTTTTTATGGAGGTGAGACCGCCACGAACTTTTTATGGTACAGTGATAGGGGAGACCTCCCCTTTCGATCCCACCATCATCTGGACATTTACCAATAATATTAATCAGGTAGTAATAAAGTTATTTTAGTCCGGTACTGATTGTTAGTATTTGCCTGGAGAAGACATTATATTGGAGGCTTGATGACAATAAAAGTGTAAATTTCTAATTTTAAAAAATTTGCACTTATTAGTTCCTCAGTGCTCAATTTTTTGTACTTATGTTAAATGGTCTACAGAACCTAACAATTGAACTCTCTTTTATTTCGTGTACGACAAACAAAAACAACTGTCACTAATTAGGGATAAATTTCTACCGGAACAAGCAGCTTTTCCCAGAATCCCACAAATAACTTGAAGGCGGCGGAGGGGGAGCGTCCCGACGACGATAGTAAAAACGTCGAAGTGCCAGTTCCGCATATTAAAACAAAGTACATGTACCTATAGCACATCCAATGCTTGGTTTCGTATAAGCAAGTGTGTTCCATCATCATTTCGACTAGGACAACGGCGTCGTAAACGTACACACACGTCGTTCTCTATCTCTCTCTCTCTCTCTCTCTCGGAATATTAAAATACACCTAAGGTTTACTAAAATGCGTATCCAAAAATTCGGAGAGCAGTCGCGGTCGTATTAGCGCCAGGCGCAGTTGAAGTGTGACCCGTTTACCGCGACCACACCATCTAATCCATCAATCATGCCGTGCAATCTACCTAACTCACGATCAGTGATTTGTTAAACAATAAAGTGTGAATAATACAATAAATCGAGTGGGTCCTGCACGGATCAACCAACAATTAAAATCCGATTCACAATTGTTACCGTTTGTTGCTTGAATATCGTCGACAATACAGTAGTTTTAAAAGTAGGCTCTGGGCCGATCTGTCAGTCATCAAAATCCGATTCGCTTTTGTTTGTTTATTGCGTTCGCGACAATACAGTAATAAAATTCGAGTGGGCCTTGGACGGCATATCCGTCAATAACAATCATTCTGATTCGCGATTGTTAGCGATTGTTGTTATAGTGAAGTTTAGTGCACGCTATGAACCATGGCAACCACAGAATTCTTTCAAGAATGGGAGGAGAACATTACCACCGAAACAACGAAAAAAACCACCAAGAAGTCCTACAAGAGAGGGATTTCCCGAGATCCGTTGTCAAAGGTGCAGTTTTTTTTTTGATTGTCGCTGTTTTCATGGTGAATTAATGTTACATAAATATTCAATATTTTGACGCTGATGTAAAATAAATCGGTTGTTGTCAGGCGTTGTCTAGGAACGGAAACGAAAAATTTGTAGCGCCAACTTTGTTTTAAGTATAATATGCCGGTGCGCTGGTGTTTCGTAATCGCCGATTTAAAAATATGTTCGCGATTCATACAGTGTTGCGGTCATAAACAATGGTTATTTCGGACATTGCAAGCAAGTCGCCAATAAAAAATTATTTGAAAATAAATATCGTTCTAAAATAACCTGTGTGATATTACACATTAAAATTGAAAAAATTACCATTAGTTCGGCGAATGTTCGTACAAAAATAGCACCGCATACAAATTTCAAAAATGCTAGGTCTAATACAGTCCAACAGCAACGGTAAAACGTAATACAAAAACCAAAAATTTGAAGTTGGGAGATTCCCTAATATAAGTAGGGCAAACTAGAAGAACTTTTAAAACTAGATTTAAAGAACATAAAAACCTATCCCAGGCAAGAAATTTAATATATCTAGGTTTTCAGAACATTTTTCTTAAAATAAACATAAATTTAACGTAAAAATTGTAATACGTTGTTACTCGCACTGTATTGTTCTGTAAAAATGAAGGCTTCAGTCCTTGAAAACGACATGGTAAGGCAAAATAATGGTATATTTATGTGGGGTATTCTTAATAAAACCAACGCAAAGCATTTAAACTAAAGTGCTTGGTTTTTATTATTATATAAAGTGTTGTACCTTCAGATCAAAATCTAAAAGTTTAGATACCATCGTGCAACAAAACTACAGAGTAGATACAATGTTTTCAGTTGTATGAGTCATTCACTCTGGACATATTACCGCAGTTCTAACTTTTATTTTTAACCCATGACTTCTATAAAAAAAAAATTGGCACTTACTTGCTACATTAAAACTGTGCTCCAAACGGCTACCGACTATTCTTAAGTTTAACGATTCCACCAAAAGCAAACATTATTTTGTTTTTTCTACACCTTTAATGTAGAATTAAAAGAGAGGTTTACCCCTATTTTACTACTATTAAAATATGCAACACGAAAGTAATAACAATTATCCTTTTATTAACAAATTAAATAATTCAATACCATTAGCAACTTTATTTTCAAGTTTATTTCTCTAGTTTTATGAAGGGTTATTCTGCTTCAGATTGTTACAGTTTCTGGTTTACAATTTGTTTTTGTTTGGCTTCACTAACATTTAATGCCCAATTCTGAAGGAAATTAATTTTTTGTTTCAACCACAAAAGCGTTTTAAAAGCAGGTTAACCAAATATTTTCTGACAATTAGTTTCTATGAAAATATCATTGGCTTTTCTTTAGATAAAGTGATAAAGTAGTTTAATTATAATTTTCTTGATTACTTTAAAAATAAATTGGCTAATAGTGGTGTTCTTGCAAATTACTTAATTTATATGTTTTAAGTAACGTTTTTTTTTCTAAATTCAGTCCAAACTATCATCTACGACATTCGAGATACCGACTATTTTTATTCGTTATAGTCTTTGTAGTATCAACAACAAATGCGTGAAATTTTGAGGAAAAAAAATTACAGCGCATGTGACGCGTTTAAAACCAAAAAACTGTAACCTTCTTCTTGGTGAACTTTGGTGATGTTAAAAGGAAAACTTGTAAGAAACGGTGTGAGATCTGCTACATTTATCTCACACAGTCGCTGCGCTACAATCTATAAATGCAAACATTGTAGAACCAAATAAACTTGGATGAGTCTTTTCTCCTTCTTCACCGTTAACGGGAGCGCACTTAATACTGAATCCGCAGAAATGCTTCAAGCATTAGAATTAATACGCACCTACTGCACCCGGCGATGCTTAAACGTGGGGATGGATTGAGTCCGAAATCTGTCTCGAAACATCGCTTTATTTATCCCTTTTTCAATGGCTCATATTAAAACTAACGATAAACTTTAGTTAGCTATAGTTAGGACGATCAAAATTGTTCGCAATAAATTATCTGTGAGAATGGACGTATCTTCTTTCTTGTTTCCAACTGGGACTGAAGTCATTTGCTGCGTTTTGAACACGCCCTTGTCAAGTTAGGAAATGCTTCAAGAGTATTACAGACAAAGTGAAAACAGATAACCGAATAATAGTAAGCGGTGCAGCGGTTAGAGGTTGTTTAGGTAAGAAAAAGGTCAGGGTCGGCTTTATAACTTCCTGGTTGGAATTATATCCTTAAACAAGTGTATTTGAATTCCTAAATTGCAGAGAATGTTGAACTTTCTTTCCGCCGGATGTTGGCAAAATGCTCAAATTTTGCATGTCTGCATCTCTTTCTGTTACACATTAATTCCTTTTTCTTTATTAGTGTTCGCTGCAATTCCTACCTGACATCTCTTTTCTATCTTTACGATATTCCCTACAACGTCTGCCGTGAGTAAAAGTATTCGTTCTGTCAGTAACCGCACTAGTCTAGTTACTAAGTTGAAAGAAGAAAGTAAATGTGACAGTTTTATTATGTACTATTCCAATTTTAAACGTCTCAACTATATAGAGACCGTTAGGATTTAGTTAATAAAAAGTAGACGTACATCACTAATCGGCGATTACTTATATTTATAGTAGCAATAACAAGCTATTCACAATTTTCCGCGTTAACAACTGAAACAAATGTATTCGCAACAATTATTTTAATTTCACGAACAATAAAAGGTATAATTTCCTCATAACATACCACCAGTAACCTGTCCAAATTTGGATGATACATTTATTGGTAGTTAATGGCATATTCTAGACCAAGTCTTTAGTGCGTAACCGTTAATATTTTTTTATAATATTAAACTTTTAACCCCCGTTACACCCCTGTATAGCGATAGTACCTATTTTGAAAACTTTTATACAAAGGATAATGTCGTTGTACAAAAAGTCTTTGGGCAAAATTTAGAACTTACTGACATGTTTCTGGTTGGGCTGGGTCTTGACCGATACATCAAACATTGAAGATACCTTTTAACCCCTTTAGGGATTCAAAAATTAAAAAATCCTCCCTTACTGCTTGACTAAATTATACAGGGATCTTCTGTCCTATACTGCAAAGTTCCTAGATCAAGGGGTTAGACTGTGTGTTGATAATATATCAATCACTCACTGTATCATTTAATATGCACAAATTAATTTGTACTGTCGTGTTTATATTTGTATAAAAATGTTATCCCGTTGTTATTTTGTATAAAAATTAATTGTATTTTTTTGTTACGAATATTTATTGTGAGGGGCTACAAGTTTAATTACCTCATTAAGGTTATGACGTATGAGACTTCATAGAAGATAAAATGGTGACGTATTTAAGTGGCATGTGAACGGATTTACCGCATAAAAATATGAATCACAAATCGCGATTTTGGCAAGGCCACCTACTACGTACAAACCTTTTGATTTTTCTCAACCTGAAAAACATTTCAAAGCCTTTTGAATGTTATGGTCGAACACTAACACCTTTAATTAAACTAAACAAGTAGCAAAAACCCACGTGAATTCCCCAAAAATAAACTTTTTTTGGTATCGGTATGAACGTTTTTATATTTTTGACACCTGTACCTGCTTAATTTTTGCACATTTTTAAAAATTTTACCTGGAAATCGCGGTAGGTAAACAAGATTTTCGTCTCTCAGACCAAATTAATTGCTAGTGATTGAAAGCCCTGCTTTTCGTTGCCAAAATTTTTAGGTATACTGACATAAAATCATTGGCCATTCCTACATAAATATTTAAAGTAATTTTTAAGCATATGAAATATTCAATTTTATAATAGTTTTATAAGTTGAGAACCAGACCGCAAAATTAATGGCATGTACGTCACATCAGGAATTATAGTGCGTCGATCTACAATTTGGTTTTTTTTTAAGTAGCAGCCTAGGTTTGTTGAGTTTTTGGTAAATTTTGAGAACATTGAGTATTAAGATCCGTCAAATGGGAGGAGCCTAAAAACATGGCGCCGATTAGGGAAAATTTATCGTAGTTCCTATGGTGTACCGTGCAATTTCCAAGTTTTTAAATTACGATAAAATGATAAGTATCGACACAATATGTGATTGGGGTGACACAAAGCCTCGGAAAGGAAATTTCGTTGAAGGTGAGCGTGTTTTTAAAGCCAATCACATTATAAAATTCGGAAATAACAAATCCGGAAGCTAGCCTTCAAATTCCGTCAAGTTTACTGCCTACTTTTTACAAACTTCGGATATAAAAAGTGATTCACGTTATATAATTGGTGAGGTGATGACTTGCACGTGCAAAACCGATTTAAGAGAACGTTGCAAACACATTATTGCAACTTTGTTGTATTGCAGCAGGTAGGTTCTTAACCTCAAAATACTTATATGGTATCATTAGAATTGTGTTAAATCAATTACACAGGAATAAATAATTCCTCACTTTATAATTTTAGTATGATTCTAGTTTTAAATATTAAGGTTATGGCTGATGGTAAATACTTGCTGAAATATAATCATGTGCATTAAAATGACGTGAACAAATTTTTATTCCGGAATTCACTTCTTTGATACCTACTGCTTTCATCCAAGCTTCTATTAGTTTACTTTTTTCTCTAATTTTCCGAATATATTTTTTACATATATAAAACGGTTAGTTTTTATTGGAAAGTAGTTAATGTAGGTGAAGAGTGAAGATCTATGTCTGAAGTGCTATTGCAGCTTTTCACTGAACATATTAACTTTTTATTTGATTTAACTTTAGAAGAAAACTTCGTCGACTCCATCATCAAAAAAATTTTTACTTTTTTACCGTGTTTTATTATTTTAATAAACAATTTTACAATTTGCGTGCACAGTTCCTATGTAAATTTTTCCCTCATTCGAGTTATAAGTTTTGCCACCAGATAGTGTATGCCCATTTGTCGGATCCCAATAGTTTTCCACTTTTCGATGTCATATCATTACCTTTTCAGAAAAATATCAT